GTCTTGTTTCGTACTCACGCCGAAGGGTTTTAGTTCACCGTCATGGGAGAGTGTGTAAAGCTGCCAATATTTCAACATAAGAAGCTGCAATAAGAGTATTTTGGGGTACTTTTATAGTACTTTTCTATGAAAAATGACTCAAACCGATTAGTCGATTACTAAAATAGTCACCGATTATTTTAATAGTCGATTAGTCATCGATTACTAGATTAATCGTTGCAGCCCTAAATAAAAAAAAAAAAAATCCACAATAAAAACAACTATTCAAACCCAGTGACCTCTCAAGAAAAACAAGTATGTGTTTGTAGCCCCTTTAACACTGCCAGATTTTTTCCGTCAATGTTGGGCCATTTTGCCAGCAAGCTGCGAGCGTTTAGACACACAGAGCTAGATTGCGAGTTGATCCGAGGTGCCCAATTTTCCAACTCGTAGGGTAGTTATATTGGTGGAACCCTTTTAGTGTAAAAAGACAGAGGCGGCCTTCCGCAACGGGAGGGGATGTTGAAAGCCCTTTTAAGATATGAATTGTGCAAATTTGCAGGAAAGCCCAATCAGTCTTTGTTCAGCATTGGCAGTATAAAAACAAAATCAGGGAGTGCAGCAAAATGCAGCCTACCTAATTTTGTTTATACAGAAGGCGCCTTTTTTGGGGCAATGGGGGGCGTGAGAAAGTAACAAATCGCGTAGCTCAGCGTGTGATGTAAACAGTGACGTGGGAGGGAAGCCGCAGCTGATCAGTCCTTCGGCGACTCTCTCGTAAGTTGGCCCGTTCTTCACCGTTCCTGTCACCTGAGTCGTGGGAGGAGCTGTTGATGACGTCGCATGTGCGACCCACTGGCGGTGGATAAACAGGAAACAGCTGATAGCAGAAATTAGCGAGCAGCTAGTAGCAAGAGGGAAAGGTAAACCTGACAGACACTGTAAAGATGGGTAGACAAGGAATTGCGCGCCCTCCTTGACCTCGCAAACGAAGAGGCCATTAACCGTCAGATGACGGGGACGGTGAAGAACGGGCCGACTTATGAGAGAATCACCGAAGGACTGACCAGCCGCGGCTTCCCTCCAACATCACACGCTGAGCTACACGTTTTGTTACTTGCTCACGCCCCCCTTTGCCCCGAAAAAGGCGCATTCTGTATAAACAAAAGTAGGCAGGCGGCATTTTGCTGCACTCCCCGATTTTGCTTTTATACTGCCAATGCTGAAAGAAGACTGATTGGGCTTTCCTGCAAATTTGCACAATTCCTGTNGGCGGCATTTTGCTGCACTCCCCGATTTTGCTTTTATACTGCCAATGCTGAAAGAAGACTGATTGGGCTTTCCTGCAAATTTGCACAATTCCTGTCTAAAAAGGGGTCTGTCACCACGTTCTTTATAATGCCCTTAAATTCATCAGTGGATAAAAGTGTTTCTAATTCTAGATCTTTTTGACGACTTTTTTTTTTCATGTCCAAGGTGCAGGGTAGAAAACTGCAGTTTCCCCAGATCTGTTAAAACCCAGGGTTCATTAAAAAGTAACCAGCGGAGGAGTGTAGCTGGAAACTACCAGAGCTGACACACGGCAAGATTCAGACGTCAGCTGGAAGTTTCCCCCATATTGCTTTATAGATAAAAATATACCTGTGCTGTTGTCTGCGAATGGTCGATGATGTCCAACACAGCAAATCATAAAGAATCCAGAGATGAGTCAGGGACTTTGTATTTGTAATAAAACGTAGAGATGCATGGTTCACTGTATTAAGGCTATATAAAATGGAGGAGGTTGCAAGCACATATAATATGTCACTGTGATCAATCACAGACAGAAAAGTAGCTTCCACAAGTCTTTTCTTAGCACTGACAGCCAGGCAGAACTGGGTGGTGACGGCGTAAATGGACTGCACTTGTATAGTGCCTTTCTAGTCATCTGACTACTTTTAACATACTCGCACACTGATGAACAGCCATCAGGAAGAATTTGGGGTTCAGTATCTTGCTCCAGCATACTTTAACATGCAAACTGGAGGAGCTGGGCATTGAACCGCTGATCTTCTGTTTGGTGGATGACACATTGTGCCTCTGAGCCACAGCCGGGGGGGGGGGGGGGGGGG